GCATTTACACTTAAAAAATGGGATGAGGTGGGATTCTCTCCTTTTTTTTTTTTCTTTTTTTATAGACCACGGATTAGTTTATTTTTAACACCCATCATGCCATGAATTCATAGGGAATAGGTTCTAGTAGCTCAGGCTCCTTTCCATTGGTTCTCACAAAGTGTGCTTCTCTGGGTGGAACAGGCTGGGGCTTTAGTTGAACCCAGGTACCTTTCTCTTTGGCTTCTTTCTTTTTCTGGTCATTTTCCTTCACACGTTTTAGGAAGCAAAAAAAAAAAAAAGAATGTTTAATATGCTCAATACGCACATTGATTCTCTTGGCAAGAATCTTGCCCTTAACTTGTTTGTTCATAACAATGCCAACAGCATGCTGGGTAACATTGTATACTCTTCCAGTTTTGCCATGGTAACATGTGTGGGGCATTCCTTTTTGAACAGTACCCATTCCCTTAATGTCTACAATATCACCTTTCTTGTAGACTCACATATATGTTGCCAAAGGAACCACTCCATGTTTTCTCAAAGGCCTAGAGAACATATATCGGGTGCCTCCTTTCCCTTTGTGTTCGTCATTTCAGTTAACACTGGAAGATGGCAGTTCCAGCCAAAAGGCTCAACACATTTTCATTCTTAGGACTATTGCTTGTATCTTTCCACATGGATGATTAATGGATCAGAAAAATTCCAAAACTACACATCTCGTATATGGTAACAAGTATAAAGATCAAACCTGGACCAGCTGATGGCGTGGTAATTAAGGCAGCTAGATCCCATATCACTGGTTTGAATCCCAGATCCAACTGCTTGAAAAACAGACCAGATGCATGTGTGCACATACCCAAAATCCTGACAGGAGAATTGAAGAGAAGGGATTGCAGCATGGCCTTCCTCCCAGGGGTTGTTTTTTAACTTTCTCTCTCTCTGTCTGTCTCTCATTCTTTCTTTCCCTGCCTCTTTTCAGTAAGCACAAGAGCCCTGTAACACATTTTTAAAATAATAATTTTTTTTAAAAAATCAAAGTTAGATATCTAAGGACCAAAAGGGATGCAGGTATGGTAAAGCCCAAATCCAATTCTAAGTATCTGGGAGACTTTGGGAAACTTACCTCACCTCTGAGACTCAGTTTCCTTAATTTCTTTTTTCTTTTTCTTTTTCTTTTTTCTTTTTTTTTTTTTTAAGAGATTTTCGCTATAGGGCGCATGCACTCACCAGACAGAGAGAGACAGAGAGACAGAAAGCGAGAAATCACCCCCCGGGGGGATGGTCACGCCACAATTCCTTCTCCTCCATTCTCCTCTCAGGATCTTGGGCACGCATGCACGCACACGCACCTGGCGTGTTTTAAGCCACCGGGTCCAGGACGTGAACCGCGGTCAACTACGTGGGAGTCCAGCGACATAGCCATTACGCTAACTGCTGGTTCCCAGTTCCCTTAATTTCAATCAAGATCTTACTAACTCTATAGCAGTTTTATGAGAATTTAACACAGTGATACATACAATGTCCTTAACTTAGAGCCTGGCATAAGCGAATGCTCTCTGTGGCTATAATCACTAGATGATGACCATTAGGAAGCTATGGATCCCATTGGCCTTGTTTCTTGTTATGTTAGAGCATCCATGAGTTCACAGCTCAGGGAAGGTACTCAGTTAATATTGTTGAAAGAGAGATCAACAGTTGGCATAATGGCTATGTCACTGGACTCCCATGTAATGGACCACGGTTCGAGTCCCAGACTCGGTGGCTTAAACTCCTACTGGGCACGTGTGCGTGCATGCCCAAGATCCCGAGAGGAGAATGGAGGAGAAAGGATTGTGGCATGGCCATCCCCCCTGGGGGTGACTTCTCACTTTCTGTCTCTCTGTTTCACTCTTTCTGGCGAACGCACATGCCCTATAGTAAATATATATATATCTTTCCACATGGATGATTAATGGATCAGATAAATTTTCCTCTGTTTAATAATACAGAAACTACAAGATGAAAGAGAGAGAGAAAGGAGGCAGGCACAGGGCTCTACTTGTGGAGAACAAAGGAAAGAAACATGAACCAAAGTGCTGTCCAAACCCAAGCCCTTTGGCAGAATGTCCAACAATCATAGTCCCAGTTTAGACGAAGGCCCCCATCGACAGTACTGTTTTCAGTACTGAGTGACAGAGAGAGTTAGTGCTACCATCCACAGGCAGGGGGAGCATAGCGAGAACAAATCTGGGGGAGACTTGTAAAATATTTAGCTTTTGCATCTCTTTAATTTAAAGTGTCAACTGGTCACTCAAGAAATCTGTTGATCAAGCATGCATGCTGGTACCCCAAAAGGAGGTCAAGCCTGGAAATACAGATCAAGAGTGAAGGATGTAGATGAAGCCATGATAAAGTACAAAGAGAAAAGACTGATCAGGACAAACTCCTGGAAAATAACTGTGACAAGAGAATGAAGAGAAGCCATTTAAAAATTAACATTGATTTCTAATTTTTCATCTACAAAGATTGTTGGCTTAAATTGTGAGGAGGAGTAAACAGAGCAGCCTGTTGGATTGATTGGAATCGTGTGAGGAAACAGAACAGTCACTTTTGGCCATTCTGTCTCCCAGCAAAACACCTGGTGGTTAATGGAGCCAGATCCCACATGGCTGACCACACAGCCACTCCCTTGAGTCCTGGCCCAGGAGGCTTGGAAAACATACTAGACACAAGTATGTGTGCATGCCCCAAATTTTGACAGGAAGTAGAAATGGAAGAAAAGGGATTGCAGCATGATCATGCCCCACTAGGGGGTGCTTTGTTTCTCTCCTTTTCTGTATCTCTGGCAAATTCACATGCCCTGTGGCAAAAAAAAGAAAGACAATATCCCAGCAAAACAGGCTACTGAAATGCCATCACTCACTGTACCTGAGAGCATGGATCTCTTCTTCATTTTATGGCACTGATCTGCTTTAATCTTGGCCACTGACAGCAAATAGGCCCCCAGAATATCATATCCGGCTTCCGATAATGCATTCCAGTAGTGAATGAGGTGCAGCCTTGTCCAGAAGCTCGGGCTTCGGATTTTTGATATAGAGTCTATGATGCTTGCGACACAATATATTAGAAATCATTTTAGCATGTCATGCCCTGCAGGAAGCTGTTCTATCACATTTCATTAGCCTATTCATAAACTTCTCAAATTACATGGCTTTGGTAGGTCTCCAGGTAAGTATGAGCCTTTCACTTTTCAGTAGTTAACGCCAATTCCCATAGGTTCAGGGTGCCCCCTCCTCCAGGTAGGTCCCCTAGCTCTGTGGGGCAGGCCTCACCGTCTTCTGTGCTTGTGAAAGGTTTGCTCTAGTGAAGCAGTTACTACTATGCCCAGCGATTCTCTGGCTCCACATGGTCCCCTCACTTGATGGAAAGCACCTAAGGGCTTGGATCTGTATCTTACTCATTTCTGCATTCTCAGGGTCTAGCACTAAGGCAGACGGATGGGTCATCAACAGGTATTTGTTGAATTAATGTGTAAGAGGAAAATAAGAAAGAGGCAAGAAAGAAAAGGGAGGTAGGTAAAAGGGAGGTGGGTAAAAGGGAGAGGCAGGGAATCAAAATAGAGGGAAAAGAAGGGCTTGGAAGGGGAAAAGATAAGATGATTTAGCAGAAGAATACGGCCAATCCTTTATCCTTTTCCACCTCTTGCTCTTCTCCACTCTCCAGAAGGACTCTTAACTTTGAGAGGAATCCGCATGGCGTAAAGGGGGTGGGGAGCGAGGACACTCTGGAGAGCCAGACAGATCAAATGGAGTAACCCCTGAGGCCAGCTGGTGGTGTGGTGGTTAAGGTACTGGACTCCTACAAGACCAGCCATGGTTCGAATCCCAGACCCGGCAGCTTGAGAGTCACACTGGGCGTGTGTGTGTGTGTGTGTGTGTGTGTGTGTGTGTGTGTGTGCGCCCAACACCCCAAGAAGAGAATGGAGGAAAAGAGATTCCAATGCAGCCACCCCCACTGGGGGGTGATTTCTCACATTCTCTCTCAATGCCTCTCTCTGTCTCTCTCTCGCAAGAGCACACACCATATGGCAAAAATCTAAAAAACAATTTTGTTTTAAATGGAGCAACCTTGGGGATCTGAAAACCACAGAAGTTTATGCCCAGTGACGGTCCCATGGAACAAATGAGTGGATGACTGAGTAAATAAATGAGTGGCTACATCTTACTTAAGGGAACTGTGGGTATCTAAACACCCTACTGGCACAGGGAAAGGCTAAATCTCCATAAACTCCATGACATAAACATGGAGAGACCTACCTTGGGCTTGAGAGGAAGCTGCACAAGCTCCCCCAGCAGCCGCTCATTTTCATATGCCATGGCAGCTCCTGATACACTCTCCAGAAGGTGGTTTGCCGCTGGAAGTATCTGATCAAGACTTGGTGAAAATGGATTTTCTTGTGACTTGTTGGGTTCTGAAATGAATATGGACTGCTTTCTCTGACAGGAGAGATTACACCTATTTAAAAATCAGTTAGTTTAATACACCTGACATTTTAGTATATGAAAATACTATATCCAAAATGTGACAACTCTGTGGGCATAATTGGAGAAATAAAAGTCAAGGTAGCAGGGCCAGCAGATGTCATGGTGGTTAAGGCATTGGACTCCCACATGGCTGAATGGGGTTCAAGTCCCAAGCCTGGTAGCTTGCTTTCTCACTTTCCCTTTTTCTCTCTGTCTCTCTCTGGTGAGTCCATGTGCCCTGTAAGAAATTTTAAAATAATAATAATAAACAAAATAAAAAGTTAAGGTTGTTTGGAAAAAAAATGCATCTTCTTGGGCCAGGCAGTGGCATGGTCATTAAGGAGGCTGGATTCCACAAGGCCGACTGCACAGTTTGCATTCCAGACGGGGCAGCCTGAAAAAACATGCCAGGAGCATGCACACGTGTGCCCAAAGTCCTGAGAGGAGAAAGGGTTGTCGCATGGCTGTCCCACTTGGGGGGGCGGGGTGCCTCCTCATTTTGCCTCTCTCTCTGTCTCTGTCTTTCTCTGGCAAGTGTACACTCGCATAGCAATATTTTTTAAATGTACCTTCTCACATATCTGTCGGAATTTAGCAAAGAATTATAGTTATGATTGCTGACCTAGAATGTGAGATGTATGCATGTTGGTTTTTCATGTTGTCTTCCCTGCCCCCGTGGAAATATTTGTAACCTACTTTCTATTTTAAATATACCATGGTTACTGCTTAAATAAGCACTTTTGAACATTGGAGGGTGCACATTTTGGAGAAGTTAATTCACTGCTCAGATCCCATATAGGCCACGCAGTAGCTGAGCAAACAAACGGCGTATTTGTTGTTGGAGCCGGGGTCACTACATCTTCATTTCTGGAGAGAAATCATTCTGAGAGATCACACTATCCAGAAATAAGCTTCTTAAATATGGAAAGGCTTTGTTTCATTAAATCCTGGTGATAGCTATCCCTGAAAACTAAAATGGAAGTGTTTTTCAACGTTCTGCTGGGCCCTTGTCCTTACAAGGTGAATGGACAGCAAGCCCAGCTCTTCACGAGAACTACGAGAAAAGTGGAGTTCATTATCTAAATAACCGCTCCGCATTTCCACTGAAATTCTTGCAGGTCGCCCATCCTTTGGAGAGACTCCATCCAATCTGGTCTCAAGTACAAAGATGCATCTTGCCGGCAAGCACAGTGGCTAAGAGACAGAGGGAAGAAGAAAATGTCCTTCTTCACTGTGTTTGGCAAAGGCATCTTTGTGGGTAGTAAATTGGGGGAAATGGGGTGAAAATAAGAGAGAAAAAGAACTGGGATGAATATTACCCTGAGTCCAAGATGTGAAGTGTTAAACACAATGAGTGAAACGTAGGCTGCTAATTCCCACCCAATATCCATCTCTCTTCTTTAGAGGCAGAAGCCATCTTGGCGAGGGTAGCAGTACGTGGAGCTGAAACCTCTATTCCTCAGCTTCCCTTGTGATGGCCGTGGCTAAGTAATGGAGTTCTGTGTCAGAGACCCAAGTGGAAATGTAGGCACGAAACTGCTGGGAAACTTAGCTAAAAGGAACTGGCACACCCTTCCTCCTCCTTCCTGTGGCCCGAAGTGGAATGTCTGACCCCCAGCAGCCATGAGCATGAGGTGACCTGGAGAATGGAAGCCAGCATAGTTGGGGGCAAAGGAAGAGTCGTGAACCAGGTGATTTTGTGGAGCCAACAGAGCAGCTGGGACCGCCAGTCTCCAAAGGTCTATTCCATGGAGGTGAGATCTTTAAAAAGTTCGTGGAAACATCATATCAGGAAAAGACCGCGCAAGACCAGGCATGGATTTCAAAAAAATGTCTGCACCAAAATAACCTCGTATTTTAATTCTGTTTTGGTTTTCTATTTGCCAGAGGGCATACGTGTTTGTCAGAGAGATAGAGAGCGAGAGGGACAGGGAGAAAGCACCCTCTATGGGGCGCGGTCATGCCATAATCCCTTCTCCATTTCTCCATCCTGTCAGGATTTGGGACATGCACATACATGCACTTGGCATGTTTTTCAAGTCACTAAGTCTTGAATTTGAACCACACAATTGGCTGTGTGGGATCCAGCTTCCTTAGCCACAAGGCCACAGTCCAGTCCCTTTCCACCGACTTTTTGAAGTCCCCTCATATGGGAGAATAAACCCTGGGGTTTTTAGCCTCTCAAGTCAGGTCTCAGTTATGGCCAAGTACAAGTCCTATCTTATAGCCATTTCCTACATGTCTATGGTCCCACTTCTACCTGAGACATCCCTGTAACAGACTACACCTGACTCCTGCTTCCCTAACCCAGGGGCATTCCCCAGATCCAGCCTTACCGAGAAGCTTGTATTCCTCAGGGACTGGTGCCTGAAGTACAGGAGGCCATTCGGCTTCTCTTGGACCCACTGCTGGCTGGCGTTGCGGAAGGCGGCCCAGTGCACCGGGGTTACTTTGTGATGGTTCCTGTAGCCCAGCATCTCCAACAGCTGCAGCAGCTCATCCTCGGCCAGCCCACAGTGCGAGATACACAGCAAGCACAGAGCGTCGGCCACCCAGCCATCCAGCCCTGCGCAACAACACGGTGGTGACAGTGACACGAATAAGAGCAAACGTGAGCCCGGTATGATTCTCAGTGTCTCATATGATGAACGAACTATTTCTCAGTCCTCCCACAGGCAATACTACAGCTGCCCCTATATTGCAAATGAGGATAATGGAGCACAGAGAAGTTAAGTAACTTACTCCAGGTTGCACAGAAGGAAATGCAGAACAAGGGTCTGAACCCAGAGAGCCTGACTGCAGAGCCCATATGTACAATTACCATTAAGTTATTTCCTGTATTGTCACAACTAATACAGGCACAGTTTTGATTTCAAATGAGAAAGCTTGGGGCTGGCAGGTGGTGTGGTGGTTAAGGGCGCTGGACTCGCACATGGCCAACCGCTTATCAAGTCCCAGACCTGGCGGCTTGCTTTCTCACTTTCTCTCTCTCTCTCCTTCTCTGATCTCAAAATAAAAAATAAAACAGAATAAATAAATAATTCTTCAATTGGGGAAGCTTGCCAATTATGACACTAAGCTGTTTCTGCTGAGCAGTCTTAATAAAGGTTTTCAAACACCAAGTTTGCACTGACGGGTGTGGGTGGTTTTTCTGTGCGATTGTTCTGTCACGTGTTCACAGACCCCACCCCTGCATCAGCTCATTACTCACCTGACTCTTAGATTTCTCCACCAGGGCTAGATTTCCTGCCAGTTTTCTGATCAACCACCCATAAAGAGACGCTTCAGATTGTTGAGAGAAATGACAATGCAGTCTATTGTTGCAAATTTATTTCCTATGCTAGGACTGGGGAAGGAACCCAAGGTACCTCCGGTCTTTAAGCAGAGGCAGAACTGTTCAGCCTCAGCTCTGTGAGCTTCCGCTGAGGTTTACTCCAGCTTAACTGAGCTCCTCCTGGACCTGGGACTGTGCTCTCTCGGCTTGCTGGAGGATGGAGCAGTCCCTGGGAGGAGGCGGCCTGGGCTTTCCTACACTGTCCCGGAGGTAGGGTAGCATAACCAGGGGCTCTTTCATTAGAGTGATGTTTCCAGGGACTGAAGAGACCTTGTTTCCACCTCCTTAAAGTTGGGGGAGGGCACAGTAACTTTGTAGTCTATTTTCTTACAGAAATGCACACTCGAGGGCTACCTCATAGCACAAGGTTAAGCACTGTACACAGGGAGCCAGATCCCACCTGGCCAACCACAGTGAAAGTCCCAGTCCCCAGGAATCTGAAAAATACACTGGGCATGTGTGCATACCCAGGACCCTGACTGGATGAAAAAAATGGAGGGAAAAGGACCGCAGCATGACAATGCTTCACTGAGAGGTGCTTCCTCTCTCTCTCTCTCTCTCTCTCTCTCTTTCTCTCTCTCACTCTCTAACAATTAAAAATTATTTAAACTCTAGAGTAAAAACTGGGGCAAGACAATAAGTCATAATACTCACTAATTAATTATTCCAAGTCTTGTCTGCTTCTTTCTCCTCACTTTCACCTCCCTAGTCCTCCTCCATCTAAATTCACTGCTCCGCAAAGAAATAAGAAATAAAAACTCAAGTTTCAAAATAGACTTTTGATGCTCAGGTCAGAGACAAAGACTTGACAGAAATGTTGATTTTCAGAAGCCTGATTATTGGACATCGTAAAATAAATTCCTGACCAATTGATGGAATAATTTTTTTTCCACAAACAACAGAGACAATTGCAGGATGATATGAAGAGGACATTTTTTCCCCACCCAGGAAGGAACGAAATTGTGCTGAATTGAGAAAGGTGCCAGAGAGAGTCAGAGAACAGAGCAAGGCTCAGCAAAGCCAAGTTAGCTGAGAGTAACCTCATGGGCTACGTCAGCAGGTGGCAGCAAAGGTCCACAACCCAAGACAGACCGGCCCCCGCATCCCAGAGGAAGCCCAGCCTGGAGAGAGGTCCCCGTCTAGGAACCAGCTGGTAGAAGATGGCAGGGACAGATGACAACCAAGGACACCCAGCATCAAGGCCCTGGGATCTCAGTTCAACCCATTAGAGATATATCATTGAAAGACGCAAATCTTTGCCAACTGAAGAAGTCCTCAACTGACTGAAAATAAACCAAATTGATGGGATAAACCTGAGCAGACTGGATGAGGTCTCTGATGTCAGGAGGACTGTGGGCTCCAGATAGGTTAAAGGGAATTACACAAATAACAAAGGACTCTGGCCAGCCAGTGGAATGGAGGTTAAGGCAGCTGGGTCCCACATGGCCAACTGTGTGGTTCAAGTTCCATACCCAGAGGCTTGAAAAACATGCTGGGCACATGTGCATGAGTGCCTAAAATCCCATGGGGAAATTTAAGTAGAAGAGACTGTGGTATGGTCACTCTCCTTGCAGGGGGGTGATTTCTCGGTTTCCCTATTTGTCTATCTGTCTCTCTGTTTCTCTACTGAGTGCATGAAAATAAAATAACAAAAGATCTCTGAAAAATGTGACTGAAATTTGTTCTAAAACAGTACTTATAGTCAATACTCAGAGCTCCCTAGAGATGCCAAATTTAGGGAAAAAACATACAGGGTGCCCAGTTAAATTCAAATTTCAAACACACTACTAATTAATTTTTAAAATTCACTTATTTCTTCCCTGACTGAGAGAAACAGAGAAAGAAAAATCTCACCTCAACAAGGTCCCCATGCTGCAATCCACCACCAGCCTGTCAGGCCTAGATGATGTGCATGCAGTGCCCAGTGTACTCAGAGAGGTCTCCAACAGACCCAGAACCTTCCCATGTGGGTCAAACTCACAAAGCATTGCATCTTTTTTAAATTATGATTTCTGGGGGCCAGCAGGTGGCATGGTGCTTAAGAGTGCTGGACTCTTACATGTCCGACCTTAGCTCGAATCCCAGATCTGATGGCTCGCTTTCTCACTCTCTCTTTCTCTCTCTCTCTTTCACATTCTGTCCATCTCTAGTCAAATAAAGTTAAATAAAATAATTCTTTAAAAATTGTTTTTAATTATGATTTCTAATTTATATAGTGGGTTGTCAGAAAAGTCATGATGTATTTTTTCTATGCAAAAATGCATCAGGACTTGGGACCAGCAGTTGGCATAATGGCTATGTCTCTGGACTCACATGTAGTCAACCGCGGTTCAAGTCCTGGATCCGGTGGCTTAAACGCATGCTGGGCTCATGTGCATGTGTACCCAAGATCCTGAGAGGAGAATGGAAGAGAAGAGATTGCAGCATGGCTATCCCTCCTGGGGAATGATTTCTCACTTTCTGTCTCTGTCTCTCTGTCTCTCACGGTCTTTCTGATGAGCGCACATGCCCTATAGAAAAAAAAAAAAAAAAAGGATCAGGACTTATCTGACAACCCAATGTAGTCCATGTATATATCTTTGTGAGTTATAGCATGGGTTTTTTTTTCGTTTTTTTTTTTTTTTAATTATCAGAGGGCATGTACACTCACCAGTGAGATGGAGGAGAAAGGAGAGAGAAAGCACTCCCCAGTGGGGTATGTTCATGCTGCAATCTCTTCTCCATTTCCCCATCCTATTAGGATTTGGGAAAAACACACAGAGCCAGCACGCTTCTTAAGCTGCCAGGGCCAGGATTCAAACCACATCAGTCATGTGGAATCCAGCTCCTTTAACCACTAGGTTATAGGGCTAGCCCTACAGTATGTTTTTTTATTTTATTTTTTTTCTGGGAGGTTTTTGCTATATGGCACGTGTGCTCGCCAGAAAGACAGAGAGCGACAGAGAGGCAGAAAGTAAGAAATCACCCCCCAGGGGGGATGGCCATGCCACAATCCCTTCTCCTCCATTCTCCCCTCAGAATCTTGGGCACAAACACACATGCGCCCAGTGTGAGTTTAAGCCACCGGGACCAAGACTCGAACCACAGTCAATTACCTGGGAGTCCATTACGCTAACTGCTAGTCCCTACAGTATGTTTTTTTAAGGTTTTCGTACAGCATATAATAATCAGGATAAACACACATTATACAATAATCAAATGTAGGCTCTAAGAAGAGGTTCCTACTAGCAAAAAAATTAATCAACTCACATGCTTCTGAAGAATAACCGATACACCCATGCATCTCCTTCAGTATTGAACATTCCATTATGCTGTGCACATTTGTTAATAGTTTTAATCATTTTCTTTGAAAGAACATTACATTTTATCACCACACCACTGTCCAGCACTGTGCAACTAATTAATTCTAGTTATGAGTATGTCCCATGTAATATTTAGGATATGCTTATACTAAGAATTACTTGTTGTTTGCCTGTAATTAAAATAAATTTTGGTATAAATATATCCCATGAGATATCTAGAACATGCTACTACTGAAATATTATCTGTTGTTTATCTGAAATCCAGATTTGAGGGGTCCTCTCTCTGACATTATCCGTGGACCCTCCTCCCGTGGTGGTAGTCTACCACACAGCTTTTTCCCTGTGGACTCCTGCCAAGCTGTCACCGCTGGTCAAGTTTTACCTTCTCTTGAAGCCACAGAATCTGCATTTTCCCTTTTTTGCTTCAAAGTCCAACTGTAGTCTTCAATCCAGCGTTTCAGAATCAACTCCCAGAGTTCCTGAATGGACACCACATCCAAATACTCCCTCATACACTGCAACTCATTTCGGTAGATTCTACATTCTTTCAATTCATTGGCTAAGATTGTGAGTTTTAAAGGACTCAGGTTTGGTTTCTTTCTCAAAGCTTGTCTACTCTGTCGGAAGGGATCGCTGTTGGGAATGGAGAAATGCTGTCTAAAGATGTTTAGTTTTGTTTCTTCATCTCCTGTGCTGAGTTCCACTGTCCTCACATCTGGGCGGGTGCACAGCGACTTGTAGGACAGGCTGGAGGAGACGGTGCTCATGATAAATTTGCAATGAGGAGCGAGCGAACATGGCAGCCAGGAAAAATCTTTTGCCTGATGGAGAGATTCAAAGAAATCTAAAAACTTTATAGACTTTAAAGTTGCTTTGCTAACTTTTTAAAAAAATTATTTTATTTCATTTTATTCATCATCATTAATATTTTTTAATTTAACCAGAAAGAGACAGAGAGAGAGAGAAAAGGAAAGGAAAAAAGCAACCCATCAGGTCCAGGACTCGAACCATGCTTGGCCATGTGGAAATCCAGCGCCCTTAACTACCACACCATCTGCCAGCCCCTACTAATGGTTTTCAAACTTAGAGTAGGTGGAATATAAACGGCACATATAGGGCAAAAGCTGGGGTTATAGTATTAGTAGCAACGTGGATAGAAAGTGATACAGTGGTAAGAAAATGCCAATTGACGCTCCAGAGTACCTTGTTTGACTAACTCACCTCCCTGTTATGAATATAAGGATGCAATGTAGACTCTAAAAAGAGGTCCCTATGAGCAAAAAAAAAATAATAATAAATTCACTTGCTTCTGAAGAATATCCTACAGAGATAACCAGGAGACACCTAAGAAAGGATGAACTGAACCACTTCCTTGAAAAATACATCATTTTATGCTGAAGAATTGTCTTTCTCTGTGGTAATGCTATCATAAATTCAAATAATTTCATTTTGGAACAGAAGACGACACCTAACAAGAACTTTTCTTCCTTCCTTTAGCAACCATTCCCACCCCTCTGCCTAACAGTCACTATTGCATGCTGACCGCTTACGCTCAGTCAGGCATTGTGTTATGTGTATCTTCAGCTGTTAATTGTATGAATTATGGTTTTTCAATTTCTGCATCTCAGAAGGGTTTTAAGTTTATTTATATGATTTAGGGCAGAGAACATATCGACTCCTTACCAACCTGCTATTGCCCCTGAGGTCCTGCATGGCATGTCCCCTTTTCTCAGGAAACGTAAGTAATAAGTTCTTCCTTCAATGGCACTGGCCTCACTATGTTATCACTGAAACTATCTCTATAATCTTTTTTTTGGAAAGGTTTTCGCTATAGGGCGCATGCGCTCGCCAGAAAGGCAGAGAGAGAGAGAGATAGAAAGCGAGAAATCACCCCCCAGGGGGATGGCCACGCCGCAATCCCTTCTCCTACATTTTCCTCTTGGGATCTTGGGCACACACACACACGTGCCTGGCGTGAATTTAAGCCACCAGGTCTGGGATGCAAACCGTGGTCAACTACATGGGAGTCCAGTGACATACCCATTACGCTAACTGCTGGTCCCACTATCTCTATAAATTTTACTGGAGTAGCTCAGGTGAACTTGTAGCAACCCTCTAGAAAAGCAGAGAAGGAAACTGAAGCATGGAAGGACAAAGCATCTTATCTAACTCATTCTGCTACTAAGTAGGGCTGGGATTCAAACCAAGGGTCTGGCTCTGGAGACAGACTCCTAACCACTGCACTCAGCTACTTCCAGAAACTGCCCGACCAGTCCCTCCTCGGCCTGCACAGCTCTGCCTCAGGGCCTCAGGAAGCTGTTCCACAGGTCAAGAACCTTCATCAGAGGCTCACCAGACACTATATACCAAGCCATGACAGCACTCGTCTTAGCTGCAATTTTATATTGAGTTGAGAGCAATTTCATTAATATCTGCCATTCCCCACTGGAGTGAAAGCTCCATTTCTTCACGGGAACTTCATCTTTATTCATAGTGCTTTGCCCTTAGTAAGTGTCCAATTATTAGTTGAATGTACTATGGTTGCTATTTATTAAATTAAAAAGCAGGTACAGGGACCAGCAGTTGGTGTAATGGCTATGTCGTTGGACTCCCATGAGGTGGACCGCGGTTCGCGTCCCAGACCCGGTGGCTTAAACTCATGCCGGGAGCTTCTGCGTGTGTGCCCAAGATCCCAAGAGGAGAATGGAGAAGGGATGGCGGCATGGTCATCCCCCCTGTGCGGTGATTTCTCGCTTTCTGTCTGTCTGTCTCTCTCTCTCTCTCTCTGTCTTTCTGGCGAGTGCACACACCCTATAGCAAAAACTTCTCCAAAGAAAAAAAAAGCAGGTACAAAACAATAGAGTGTATAACTGCATTTACATAAACATGTGTATGTATATAAAGCGATTCATAGAAAGCAGCTATTTACCAACAAAACAGTGATGATACTGTGAGTCTGTTTCATTTATATTTCCTTCATCTTTATCATATTTTCAATAGTAAATATATATTATTTTTAATAATTATTTTATTTATTTATTTTATTTTGATCAAAGAGGGACAGAGTGAAAAAGAGGGAAAGTGAGAAAGCAAGGCTCCAGGTCCAGGGCACAAACCATAGTCGGCCATGTGGTAGTCCAGTGTCCTTAACCACCACGCCACCTGCACCTGCTGGCCCTAATAAATGTATATTATTTGCATAATTTATTGGTTACATATATTTTCAAGTTTTAAATACACTGCTTTCTAAAGTGACAACTAGTTCCACTGATTCAATATTACTTCAAACAGAAGAAACTCTAATGACAGCAACCAGCAAATGTGATGTGATATGAGACTTCAAAAAGCCTATGGAAAACAGAATTATAGCAGGAGTGTATTTTGGTGCAAAAAAATTTTTTTGAAATTCATGCATCTTTTTTTTTTCTTTATATGCATTTCCCATAAACTTTCTGAAGAATCTTCCTATGTACAAAGCCATTGTAGATGAGGGAGTCCAAACTAGAAGACATAAAGAACAGAATAGAGGCACAGTAAATGGCTAACCAAAGTAGGCAGGGGTAAAAGCCACAATGCCTGGAACCAGAGTGCTCAGATCTGAATGTTGAGTCCACCATGTAACTATCTGAGGACCTTTGTCAAGCCACCCACTGCCTTTGTACTCCGTCCCCTCTGTACACAGAAGCGTGATGAGCAGTCTCTTCCTCATATGATAGCTGTGAAGATTAAACGTGTCAATTTTTTTGAGAGCGAGAGAGATTTTTGCTGTAGGGCATGTGCGCTTGCTAGAGAGACAGAGACAGAAAGTGAGAAATCACCCCCCAGGGGGCTGGCCATACCGCAATCCCTTCTCTTCCATTCTCTTCTCGGGATTTTGGGCATGCACACACATGCACCCGTATGAGTTTCAAGGCACCAGGTCCAAGACTCAAACTGCAGTTGACCATACTGTCTTAACCATCATACCAGTTGCTAATCCCTAAATGTGTCAGTATTTTTTTTTTTGAGATATTTTTGCTATAGGGCATGTGTGCTTGCCAGCAAGACAAAGAGAGACAGAGAGACAGAAAGCAAGAAATCAGCCCTCCAGAGGGATGGCCACATCACAATCCCTTCTCCTCCATTCTCCTCCCAGGATCTTGGGCACACACACATATGTGCCTGGGGTGAGTTTAAGCCACTGGGTCCAGAAGTCGAACTGTGGTCGACTAGATGGGAGTCCAGCGACATAGCCATTATGCCAACTGCTGGTCCCAGTATTTTTAACGTTCCTAAAAATGGTGACTATCCATTTTAAATGCTATATAAATATTTGTTCAATAAAATATAAAGCAGTTACTAAAAACAATGTTGGTTATAACCAGAGATGTCCAATGCAATGGGAAAGTGTTATGCACATTCTGTACAATGGGGCTTTCTTTTTATAAAATAGTATAAAATAGGTGTTATTTTAAAAAGATGTTACCTTTTGACCTGAAATCCCATAAATGCCAATCAATTCTTCAATTCCATCTAGTACAAGTATACATGGCTTTAAATTGATGGAAGCTATGAATGCTTCTACGAGAAGTGAAAAGATCAAGACATTTGAGTCCTCATCAAGAAAGTCAGTTTCAAGCTGAGTACCTACAGTATAGAAATTTGCTCAAATTAGGTGAAAATGTTTCCATCATTGCTAAAATACAGTATGTTATTAACTTAGAAGAGGTGGGGAGCGATGATTACAATTCACAGCTGTATAGCTGACACATACATGGATAATGGGACTTTTAAAAGTTCATAGAAAATAGAATCAAAGGGGCTAGCAGGTGGAATAGTGGTTAAGACATTGGACACTCCCACATGGCTGACCATGGTTCAAGACCTGGACCTAATGGTTTGCTTTCTCACTTTCTCTCTCTCTCTCTCTTCTGTCTCTCTCTGGCCCAATTAAAATAAACAAATGAATAAATAAAATTAAATAAATAATGTTTTTATAAAAAGAAAATGGAATTAAAATACAAGCTGTTGGGGTCAACAGGTGGTATAGTGATTAAGGCATTGGACTCCTATGTGGTCATCCCTGGTTTAAATCCCAGACTCAGAGGCTTAAAACTCATGTGCATGCATGCCCAAAATCCTGAGAGGAAAATGGAGAACGGATTGTTGTGTGTGGCCATCGCCCATGGGAGTGGGGGGATGATTTCTCGCTTTCTGTCTCTGTCTCCCCAGAGAGCTCTCACACCCTATAGCAAAAATCTCTCTCTAAAAAAAAGAAGAAGAAGAAGAAGAAGAAGAAGAAGAAGAAGAAGAGTAAAGAAAAGAAAATAATGCAAGTTTATGGGGCCAGCAGGTAGCATGATGGTTAAGCTGCTATGCTAGATTCCCACATGTCTACCACAGTTTGAGTCCCAGACCCAGTGCCTTGAAAAATCACTCCAGGCCTGTGTACGTGTGTGCCTAAACTCGAGAGGAGAATGGAAGAGAAGGGACTGCAGCATGGCAATCACCCCTTGAGGGTGATTTTTCATTTTCCCTCGCTCTGTCTCCAGCAACCACACCCACCCTATGACAAAAACCTTAAAAAAAAAAATACAAGTTTATTTTGGTGCAAAAATATTAAAATTCATGTATAGTTTTTTCATAATATGCATTTTCCATGAACTTTGATTAGCATCCTCGAAATATTCAACCCAAAAGGGGTAATGACATTTACCACCAGATGTCTCCTATACACTTTCAGGATTTTGTATAAAGTATAGTTTTGTATGATCCAAAGCATTACTCTCATTTTTCAAAATGAAAAAAAAAAAGATCATGTCACAAAGAGTTCAATGGAAAGAGAGAGAGGGGTCATGTGACCTATGAAGCTGCAACTCCTTAGCATCAGGTGCCTGCTTCAGGGTCCTAGCCTCTGCTGTGTTCTCCTCCAGCAACCAAAGCAATATTTTCCATAGAAAATGAGGCATATCAGGGCCTAGAAAACTAAGTCAGGGTTGGGTTGTCAGAAAAGTCACAATGTATTTTTGCATAGAAAAACAGAAAAAAACCACTGTGACTTTCTCTACAACCCAATACAAGCTTTAATGGGTTAAGTATCTAGATGCATTAAGATTCCATTAAAACCATTGAGAATTATTACGTTTAATAAATATCTAAAGGTTGGCTGTTATGTAAAAGTTCTGTGCTAGATGCTGAGAGAAGATAGAATGTTCGGTAATACAAAGTCAAGGACTTCAGGGATGTGGGAATGGGTTCACTACACAAATAACCAAATTTCAAGGGAGAAAATGAGTTTGAAGGCTACTGGAATTTGATGCAGAACCATCACAATAAAGAAAAGCTCCATGTGAAAGTCATTGGAGCATGCTCAGAGAATGCACAGCAAGAGATGAGGTGACGGGCATATGTCAAAACAAGGTACAGGCAAAGACTTGGAAGCTAGAAAGTAGAGTGAACATTCAGAAAATGGGAAGCTGTTCAGAGCAGAGTTTTTTTTGGGGGGGTTGGATTTTGGATTTTTTTTTTCTTTTTAAAATACGTTATGCTCTTCTTATTATACACTATAGGTTATATTTACTGTATTTCTCCACTTTGTTTTTTCCACAAATGTTTTATTTTTTTTCCAACAAAAACTGTATTTAAAGTTCATTCAGAAAACATTGGCAAAATAAATTTCAGTTGTGATTTTACATAAATCAAATTTCAGATGATATTTATAATGATAATTTGCAGATACAAATCAGTGATAAGGTTCCATCATGGCGTCAATGCAGTTCTCTTAGAAGAGCTCACATTCCTGAGAAGAAGATTCCTCATGGCTCCTGCGAACTAGGTATTTCAGGGCACACGAGAAATGAAGATTCTCTACTGATAATTCAGCCTCTAGCAAACAAGCTAGCGTGGCAGGAGAGGTGAGGCCTTCAGAAGAAGAGTCCTCATGGCTCCTGTGAACTAGAATGAACTTCAAGAATTAGAAATAAACACACCATCTATCAGATGACAAAAAATCACCACCAGACAACAAGAACTATGGGAAAGCAAGAAAATACCTCTCCTCCAAGGGAAAAGAATAACTCTTTTTCATCCACAAGCAGTTCAGTGAAAATCATGGAAATATCTGATAAAGAATTTAGAGCATTCTTAATGTCGAAGCTAACAGAGATGGAAGAGAAGAGAGACAATGAACTGCTAAAGAGAAAGGAGAAAGAAGTTGACGAGTTCCAGGAGATGAAATTCTTGCAAGATCTAAAAGCGGAATTACACACTTTACAAAAGAATCAAACAGATCTGCTAGAAATGAAGTCTATAATACAGGAAGTCAAATATCTCCCTTGAAAGTATTAAAATCAGACTAGATCATACAGAAAATAGAGTCTCAGACGTAGAAGAGAAAATTGCTGGCTTAGAACAATCCACCATGAAGACTGAGAAAATGGCCCAAAAATTTGAGAATAATATACAAGAAGTACTAGATGCCATCAAATGTCCAAACATCCGGATAACTGGCATTCCAGAAGGTGAAGAGACCCATAAGGGCATTGATAATCTATTCCATGAAATCCTGCAGGAAAACTTTCCAAACCTAGAGAGGCATTCGAAGATCCAGTCCCAGGAAATACAAAGGACCCCAAATAGAATCAACCCAAGAAGATCTTCTCCAAGACACATTATAGCCAGGTTGACCAAAACCA